CTAATTTATAATAATTTCAAAACAAATAAAATAAGTATATCAAATACTCATATTTAATAATTTAAACAAAATTATTAATAATGAACTCCAAACTGTTGTATTAAAAATATCTTTATTATTAAAAAAAAATTTCATTTAAAAATTTTTATCTTATAATTTAAAGTGTATAACACATTACCTATTACCCATGACTTGATATTTAAAAAGATCCCCCAAGAGTGACGCGTCCGGAGCACTACCTCACACCGGAGTCCATCTAGATCCCCTTTTCCTTTTAACTGGTCTAAGACGAATGTGACGACGCCGGACTGCCGCAGACAGGACACGAGAGGTACAGAGAACACTGTAAAACTAAAACCAAAAGGCCAAGTACAACCCTAGGTTGAATTAAATGGTAAGCGATTTGTTTCAGTTTAGACAAAATTTTGAGTTGGATTAAATGGTAAACGACTTGTTTCAATTTAGACAAGATTCAATTTAGACAAGAGTTCGAGTACTTATATATATGCAGCAACTCTGTTAAGAGACTAACTTACCACTTTCAGTGTGCGACGTGAATTTGTCCGAATTAATAATAAAAGCCTTACCGGGGGAAACAAAAAAATAATAATAATAAAAGCCAAGCACAAAAGTACACATTAATATAATCTCTTATCCCATTGGTCTACCCACTTCTGCCTTCTCCTATCTTCAAATCTTACCTGGAAGAACCTATTCTGCTTCATCCCTTCTGCACGCACTCCATAAATTCGTCATTATTTTCATTTAATTCGCCCATCATGATTGTTGTTGTTGTTGTTGTTGTTATAGCGTCCTTCCTCCATTAAAATGCGATCGCTTCTTCTCCCCTTTTTTACGTTTTCAGTTCCTGAAATCCCTTTATAGGGTTTTCTCCCTCTTTTTTTTGTTTTTAATTTGGGGGTGAACCCCCTTTTTCGGTGATTTCTCGGCGTCGGCGTTGATGGGTGCGAGGACATGGCAGACGGGGATCCTCTTGTTGGCTTTCTTCGGGAGACTAACGTTTGCCGCCTCCGAACCAGTTCCGTTTTGTCCTAAGGACGACATCGCTGGTTCGATCTTTGGGTTTCGAGACCAGAACTGTCCCATAAACCATGATTCTTTTGAATCTTTCGATTTCATTGGCCTTACCGAGGTGCATACTGATTTTAATTTTTTTTCTCCGCTCTTTTTTTTTTTTATTTGAATTTAACTTTTGTTTTATCTTTTTGCATCTTAGATTTTAGTTCTGCTATTTGATTTCAGGGGAATAATAAAGTTCTCAAATTTGTTGACTGATTTTTTGAAATTAGATCAACGAAATTGTAGAAGGGTATTATTATTAAAAAAGAACGCTTCAATTTAGGCTAATGATTTGAAGAAATTAAGAGGGGTTAGGAATTAGGTTTTGATAGTTGTAGTTAGATGTTAGAACAAAGTTACATTGGATAAGTGCCAATGTTATTAGCTTTTACAGCAATTAAGTTAGGTGAAGTTCAGTTAGCATTTAGGAAGAACTTTTCCTGCTTCTAAAGGCTAAACTTTTCCTTTAAAAGTCGATAAGCTTGTTTAACAAGACAAGAAAAGTTTGCCTCTAATAGAATTTATATGCAGCTAATAAATGGATAGATCTTTCATTTAGCTTAACTAATTTCCTACTGAAATAAATGGGTAGGATAAAATGCCAAGAATATGAACTTTTTTAGTTTCTTATATGTAGATTTCTAGCTCTACTTTTTTATATTTTATCATAGACAACAGAAGAATCAACTTCAGGTGAAATTTGCCTACTGCCTGCTCGTAGTTGTAAGAGGCAATAGGGTTTTGTTTTAGCCATGGTTTCTTTGTGATGGGTTCTAAAAGGACAATAGTTTATGATATATTGCTGCTGCAAGAGTGCATCTAATTAGAGTTACTTTTTTGGTCCTTTTTTGGGTACAAGCTTAATGGGAACTATCTTTTTTCTGTTGTGCAGGGAGATGAGGTCTCATTGCAAAAGGCACTTAACATGGTTTATGAGAATAGTCATGAATATGTAGCAGTGCTTTTCTATGCATCATGGTGCCCCTTCTCAAGGTCTTTTAGACCAAGCTTCTCGGTCCTTTCTTCTTTGTATCCTTCAATCCCTCATTTTGCAATTGAGGAATCATCCGTCAGGCCAAGGTTGATAAATGAGTATCTATACATTAACTGAATAATCATTTTATAACTGTATTTTTGTTTAATTGATGATGATGTTGGTTTAAATTGTTGCAGCATTCTCTCGAAGTATGGAGTTCATGGGTTTCCTACCCTTTTCCTTTTAAATTCTACAATGCGGGTGCGTTACCATGGATCAAGGACACTTGGTTCTCTAGTAGCCTTCTACAGTGATGTTACTGGTAAGACCGTTAGATATTTGTGATTGTTAACGTTAAGTACGGCAATTTCTATAAAGCCATTTGAAAAGTTTATTTCTTATTGTTGCTTACTTGTTGAACAGAGGGCTACTTATCATATTTCAATTCAATTAATTGCTAATTTTTAGATAAAATTAGCAGTGTCCTTATGTTCTTATTTTGTTATAATTTATATTTTTCATTCATTTTCAGTGGATTTATTGATGTATATCTAACATGAATAAATGGGTTTAGGTGTCAAGATTGCATCTCCGGATAAAATATCCCTGGAAAAAATTGGACATCATTCAAATCAAGAGAGGCATAATAGCATTGAGCCAGAGACCTGTCCATTCTCGTGGGCAAGATCTCCTGAGAACTTGCTTCAACAAGAGACCTATTTGGCCCTTGCCACTGCTTTTGTGCTTTTGAGATTGCTTTTCCTTCTCTATCCAACTATGCTTGTGTTTGCACAATTTGCTTGGAGACGGTTCATTAATATGAGATTCTGCAGTTTGTTGGAGCATTCTTTGGCCTATCTGAAACGAGGGCAACTGTTTAATTCTCTGAAGGAACCTCGCAAGAGAAGAAATTTGCAGGAAGGAGCAATGAATGCCAGAGCATGGGCATCCAAATCTCTTGCGACCGTTTCCATAGGTGATGCAAGCACCAGCAGAGGTGCCCTATTGAGTGAATGTCGCTGACCATTTCATGGAATTGGATAAGAGGTTTTGGTAACTTCTACCAAAGCAAGCACAACAAACCCCTCAGTGCCAGCACGTTTTTGTTTCAGATTTTAATGAACCTCCATTGCAGGATCTAGATCATGTTATTGTGTCTTGACATTGCAGTTAGTATATTTTAAATCTGTCAATATTTCTTAGGATACAATTTCTTTGACTTTTGGATAAGCTAGACTGAGTTGTGTATAGCTTACATTCCAAATAACGAAGCATGACGCACCAAACCCAACTTTTCATGGCCACTCAGCGTTCTATTGCTTCAAGTATGTTGTAATTCATTGACTTGACCGTGGAGTACAATCAGTTTGATTGGTTCATGTAGAATTAAATAGCAAAGTATCACATTACACTGCGGTGTACCAAACCTAACCTACATGTGCATGACATATGTTCCAATTCACGGTATGATAGATTTCAAATACTAAAATAGCCAGTACCTAATTGTAATTGGTCAGATGGTAACCATTCAATGGATTCAAAGCATCATAGAGTATAAACTAAGCACTAACCATTCCAACTTTCCAGGAGCAGCTGCTGAAATGCAGGCGTCCTGATTAAATTAAAACATTTTTGATAAAAACGTGACCACAAAAGTAAGCGCAGTGAAACAAAAACTGGGATCAGCAGTGTCAGATGTAGCCTTAGTCGAACCAGAAACTTCCCTATATATAGAACTATATCACCATATTGATTCAGTGAGAACTAGAAGTAATACGGTACTAAATATCCACAGTGGCTGTATCCCTCTTCACAATCTGCCAATACAGAATTCCTATGTCAGCACAATACCATCATAATCACTTTAGTTTCTGATTCATGTACATGGACAAATATGAAAGAAAAACCACGAAGAGAACCTTACAATACAATTGCTATTCATTAAAAAAAAAAGAAGAGTAAATTTTATGATTTCTTGTCATTACCTGTGATATGTATTGCTTAATTCTCTCACTTACTGGTCCATCTAGTGCTCTCTCAGCTAGCTCATAAAACACGGTATTCCCTTCAGGACCAGTAACCTTCTCCTTCTGCAAATATCTGCAAAAACATGACATAGCTGGGGATAAACACAGTGTTTCTGCCAATTCATTAAGCTTTAGGAATTAGAACTAGAAAATACAAGGCATTAGATGATCATGACCTTTGCTGGACAAGTGTCTCCAAAGCCTGCTTGACATTTCCAAGGACTGGATGGTTTTCTTCGGCTTCAGACAAGCCCATACGCTTCAAATGATGCCACAGATTTTCTGCAATAGAATTCAGTTTTGATTATGAGAAATTGTGAAGGAGGAAATGAATGTCTTCATTCATTGTGAAAATGGGAAACTTTTGTGGTAGCAACCATGAACTGTGCAATAAGTAGTGCTTGCTAAATGCAAATTCACAGAATTGATGTTAAAAGT